GAAGAATGAAGGGGGGGGAAATCGGAGGGGGAGACGAACCATGAGAGACTGTGGACTCTGAGAAACAAACTGAGGGTTCTAGAGGGGAGGAGTGGGGGGAATGGGTTAGCCTGGTGATGGGTATTAAAGAGGGCACATACTGCATGGAGCACTGGGTGTTATACGCAAACAATGAATCATGGAACATTACATCAAAAACTAATGATGTATAGTGATTAACAATAAAATTAAAAAAAAAAGATGTATACCTACCCCTTGGTGTGGTCTTGCCATGGAAAGTAGTGTAGTAACCCACAAATACAGAATAACCAACAAACTTCCCTTTCAACTCTGTAAGTGGGAACCATTAGAGGGATTTTTTTTTTACAACCACACGTGGTCTGCCATTTTGGGTCAGTCCCCAGGATAAGGAGCTACTTGTGGAATCTGACACTGTTGTGAGAAAGATCGTGTTTTACTAAAGCCATATATATTTTAGCCCAAAGAAAGCAAAGAAGGGCGGATATGAGCAAGGCAGAGTGTGTTGTAGAGTAGTGGAAAATTACTTTCTTCCAAGTTAAACTGATGCCCAATATTAGGGTTAGATTCTAGCTGGGGTCCTTGGGAGCTTTGGATGTTGGCATAGGACTATTTCCCAATTTTAATTTGGTCCTTACTTGATTGTGACTCATTGTAATTACAATTTTCTACCTTAATAGTAATGCTCTTCTGTACTTGGAGGGAGATGTAAGGCTTAGAAATCCCAGATTTGGTCTGAAAGGAGCATTATCTGCAAGTCAGCACAGGATGGAGGAAAGCAGTGTGGGTTCTATCAGTGGTTCTCTGCACTTACTTAGCCAACACTTGGACCAATAAAGCTTTAAAAATTTAAAACAATTTTAGGGGTTTATATAGTTTTAGGCTATGAAACATTAACTGCATAAAATATTAAAATTTTTCAAATGCTTACCTTATTTCATAAATCACTTTTTGATAATTCTGGTGTATATTACAATCCTCCTTTTCCCTGGTCTTTGCTAATCATCCTCCTTGCTTTAAAGACACTAGACTTGCATGGTAAATGCTTTAGCAGGTCCTTTCACTGTTGACATTCTGGATGCAAAAGCCTTTTTCCAGCACTAATAAATTCTTACTTGGAAAGCTGCCAGTGTAACACTGGGTCAATTCTAAAAGCACCTGGGCTTCAAACTGCAACCTGACATTTCACTGAAAATAAGACAGGAATGACTTGGGAAGACAGTGTATGCAAATGCCCTGTTCTCAGAGCGAAACCAAACTCCCTAACTGTAGCTGTTCAACATTTGAGTAGTTGGATACTGGATGCTGCTCTTTGGTACTATTGCAGGTAAAGAAAGCATGTATAATATGCTTTGTACTAGAGCCATATTCATTAGAGTGGACCAGATCTGAATGATACAGAACTTAAATTGAATAACCCACCTATGATGTCCTTACTGCCGTATGCACCGGAAAGGAGTAATGGCTGAGGGTGATTTTTTTTAAAGAATTTTATTTGAGAGCGAGCGAGCTTGGGGGGGCGAGGGGTAGAGGGAGAGGGACAAGCAGACTCCCTGCTCAGCAGGGAGCCCTACATGGGGCTCGAACCCAGGACCCCAAGATCACAACCTGAGCTGAAGGCAGATGCTTAATTAACTGAGCCACCCAGGTGCCCGATTTTTTTTAAGTTAATATAAAATTGAGGGGCGCCTGGGTGGCTCAGTCGATTAAGCATCTGCCTTCGGCTCAGGTCATGATCCCAGGGTCCTGGGATCGAGCCCCACATCAGGCTCCCTGCTCGCGGGGAGCCTGCTTCTCCCTCTCTCTCTGCTGCTCCCCCTGCTTGTGCTCTATCCCTCCCTCTCTCTCTCAAATAAATAATAAAATCTTTTAAAAAATTTAAAAAAATAAAATTGAAATAAAAATGTGTATTATTTGCTTTTCTCAGTGAGTCTGGCTGAACGGTGATGCATCCCATTTTGACGATCTGCTTAATGATAAGATTGCACATGGCGTAGATATGAAGCTCAGTTACGTATTCTGTATTGTATATACTTTCTAAGCAGACTGCTTTGGTTTTGACCTATAGCACTAAACAAATCTGTAAACCTGGTAAGGTGCTGCTTTGAGAACTGCTTTTCCAGAGAAACCATGGCTCATACTTTGTACACATTTAAATGTCAAAGTAGCAGCATTATCAGTATTTGATGGAATTAAGTTGCCTCATCAGAGAACCAGCAAGAAACCACTCAAGTGTGAGTCTCTAGACCATTCAAGTCTTCTCCATCCTTAAGAAACCAGAACTTTCAGAGTGGACAGGTGTGCTTTTCATCTGGCTGTAGAGAAGCTGTAGTTTAGAACAAAAGGTATTAAATTGTGTGGCTCTACTACTCCTAGCAGACAGACACAGCCGTGTTTACATGATTCATTACCGCATCTGGCATAACTGGTAGACGTTGAGATGGACATAACAGGTTGTGTTACCCCAAATAATCTCACACTTTTGTCTTCCTTCCCTAACTCTGCTTCTGTCAAAATAACTTGCTCAATTTCTCCATAATTAAGTTTCTTCATCTCTTATAAACAGCTTTCATATTTCTGAACCTAAACTTCTAAAGAAATTATTCATCTGATTTTCTACTGGATTTCTAGCCTAGCCTTGCCTCGCCTCTTGGATAAACAGCACATCGCCTTCTAATGTGTGCGGTTAATAGGCATGATTTTCAGAACAGAAATTTTCATTCTTTAAAAACCCATTTCTCTTATATGTATTATTTGAAGGTACCATCTCCCTCACTCTCCCTGACCTACCACTGCTGCTAACTCAAATCTTTCTTTTTTCCTAGAAACTATGAAGTCAGATACAGTGCTAGTCATGCATGACTCAGTACGGATGAAAAAATTCCAATCCCAGCCATCGTTTAGTTAAAAAATTACACATCAGTATCCCCCTTGTTTTGAAGTCCTGAGACTTGAGATACAAAGAAAACAGACCAATATTTGGTGTTTGTTTTATTGAGAACAATGTAGGAAAAGGCAGTATGTAAAGTAAAAATGGCTCTCTGAAATGTCTATACAATGTATGTGGTCTACTATAGGACAGTCTGAAAATTTTTCATTAAAATTGTAAATTATAAAACCAATCAGGAACTAAATAATTTTATACATCTCCATAGTCCAGACTGAGTGTGACTTCTTATTTGGCCACATAGTTCGTAAGAGACTATAAAAGACCTGTGGGGAATCTCTAGAAGCAGTAACTCTTCACACGAAGCACAGTGTGGCAAATAAACCTCGGCTGGCCTTCCCAGTGTTCGTTTAATAAGGGCACAGGATCTGGCTTTTGAAAATTACTTGATGGAATCCAAGAACAAGGACAAAAGTCCACAAGTAATATCTTCTTTTAGGCCCTATAGTGTCCCGGCTTACATTTTTTTTGCTGTATCTTAGATTCTGATTTATTACCTTTTCGAATAATAAAGGATGACTGCAAATACACACAGTTGTCACCTCCAGTTCAGGATCTGTGGCAACTGCATATTACAAACAGCTCAACCTCCTCCCTCGAATCTGCCTACCAAGTTAGAAAGTCATCCTTCAAGGGCAGCAAATTCACACCTCTTAGTGCTTCGGTAACCTGAATATCACATATACACTTAATTGTTTTTAACGCAGAAATTCACCAGGGCTAGTAGAAAATTTCAAGTTAGAAAAAAGACTTTTAATTTTCTTAAATAATTCTCCTATGTACCATTCCACATTGTGGAAAAACTGAATTATGCAGTCTGGAGACAACATCGAGATTTCAGAACACTGGCACAAATACTTACATCTATATTTTATAATATATTAGAACCACCATGTCCTGTCTTAGAGCCTGTAACAGATAACAGGTCTGAAACTGCAAGAGGTTTACAGATGAAACTTCAAATCTGGAGGTGTTAGCTGTGCCAGAGTCCCAAAACAGATCTGGAAAGATCTCCATCCCAACTCTCCATTCCGTCACTGCAGCTGTACTCTGTATGCACCTATTAGCAGCTTAACCTATTGAAAGAAAATAGGCATAAGTATCAGTACAGATACCTCCATCGAGTTCTCTCTTCTTAGAAGAGGGAAAACACTCAACCAAGATTTGTCTGTCTTATTTGGCAATGTTCTCAAATTGGTTATCAATTCAGGGTGTTAGGTTATCACTTCTAATAAAAAAATCCAAGTGCTTATGATTTGACTTTTAGATTATTATAGTAAATAACTGTACTCTTTGTTACATAAGCTTTCGGTCCACCTTCAATGTTTAGTGAACATCCTGGAGACATACATAAAATGTCATACATTAAATAACAAAGGCCAGAATACAGCTCCGACTGCTCAATACCGGAGAGATGCATCCTTACCATCAGTCCCTTTCTTGACACACAATTTATGTCTAACACATCTGTAGATTCTGGTGCACTGCTATCCCGGAGAGCACTTGTCTCCAGGACAGGCACGCCAGGAACACAGCATTCTTGGAATGTTTTTCTGCTGATGATAAAGTAATCTGGCGTAGCAACAGAAGTAGCTGCACTAAATGTGAGGAAAGGATTTTCACCTTGGCAGAAGGCGCTTCCGTCAACCTTATGAAGAGTTTATTGAGACCTGCAGCAGGGCTGAACGAGTAAACAAAATGACTATCCTAGGGAGAGGAGAGACACCAACCAGTCAGAGTTTCCTCAGACAAACTTCTACATCTGAGAGCATCACTGTATCTTAACAAAAACATTTCAGATTACAAAGACATATAAGAACACAAATTTTATACTTTATATAGATCAATTTGCTGTGATTACTTTTCTCGATTTATTAAAAAGATACAACTGACAAAAAAGCTTGTAAGATTTATCTGCAAAAACAGCATTCAGATAAATCTTTAGGATTAGCATGTATCCAGCCATATACAGCATGAGTGTTAAAAATCCTCATGAACAATTGATTTTGCTTAATTCAGGCTAAGGAAAGAATTCTAAGTACAGAAAAGGAAACATACACAAAGATTCTTCAAGACCATTTTTTGTTAAAGTTTATATAGCCACTAATATTTATTTTATTATAAACCAAATTTACAGTATAATGGTTACCTAAAGCTACACACATTAACACTAAGCATAAATACACCCATGTTCTAGGTACTTGAAGTACAGGATGGGTGTATTTTTAAAATTTCCTAAATTTCCTTTAGGTGAATGTAATTATGATGGTGGGAAAAGGCAGAATATTTAATAAAAATCAGACAGTATGTTTATTATACCTTAAGAATTTATATTCAGAATGTTCTAAGACAGTATGGTAAACGTTAACTTAAGGCATATATATCAAACATGAGAAATCCAGACTCTTACTGACAAAATTTAGGATAATTTTACTTTATAATTAGGGGTTATTGCCTCATTTCCATCTGGCTTAGTTACAATTAACATTTTATTAAAACACACAATTAAAAGTCATCTGTGCTTCTGGATTAGAAGAATATACTTTTTAGTAATGAACTACAGAAAATCTTACCAGAAAAACTGGAAGTTGAAATTTATCATTTAAAACTACAGCTTGTACACTACATGGTCCACAGAGCCGAGCAATAACTTCTTTACCCAAAAAGTTGGCATGGAAAATAAACAGCAGGATGCCAGAGCCTGAATAAGGGAGATGTAAACATAGATTTTAATACCAATCCTACCATGGCCACCTTTCAACTCTGAGGAAGGCGCAGCTGTACAAGTTGGGAGCGGTCCCCTCAGGAAGCCTGGTGGTATACAACCCCGCCTGCTGCCCACTCACGCCAGACAATCTTGAGTCCAATTTCAAAACTTGGTGTTACCTAGCATTTTTCAAACCACAGACCCGTTTTATTTTTTGTCCATGGAACAAATATTTTAAAATATGCTTTTCTACATTAATTTTGGTCTAAAAAAATGAGTATTTAAAAGTTGCTGCTAAATGTGTAAATGTCCATAGAAGCAAACTTCTATGACGGTTCTCTCTGGGTGTGGGTTTGAATGACTGTCCATTTTCTTCCACATAGTATTTTGCCTTTTCCAAATTTTCTGATTAATACCAAAACCTATTTTATTTTGGGGGGGAAAAAACCATGAGATTTGAAGCTTCCACTGAATATCCAAAATGCTGTGCATGACTCACTTTTCTAAACAAAGCCATACTTTTATTATAACAAAATAGATATATGAACTCTATGACCTTTCTGGTAAGCCATTTTTAAGATGAAAAAACACTGATCCAGCCCAATTATAAACGAGAGGAGACTTCATAAAAGAGACCCCAAGGAACCATTGGGTTTATTTGTTCTGGTCCCAGGGAAAGGAGGACACGCTGAGCCCCTGGCTCTCTTTCTTCGCCTTTCAAGCTATTTAAGGTTTGTCATACTGATTTTGCTCTCCAGCTTTAAAATGCAATACCCACCCCCACCACCGCCCCCAAAGTGCTAAGGTTCAAAAGAAGAAAAGGCCTACAGACAATATAGGGACCGTTCCTTGTCTTTTTCCCTTCAGCTCCACTATGAACGAGCATCTGATCTGGGACTGTTTGTTACTGCCTATATAGAGAAAGAGAGTGGTGGTAACTCTTCAAAATGGCCTGAATGGGGACTAGTGGTCTACAGTGAAAATCCTTCATTCAGGTGCTGTTTATTCTAACCAAAATGAGTTAGATCTAAGGAAGGTGTGTTCATTAGCTCTACTCCGACAAATACTTGAATTTCATAGATAAAAAATGACACGAGGAACCCTAATCAGTTTGCTAGCTGTTGTTTCACGGTATCAGTATAAATGCTTTCTCCAGTCAAACTAGGTGTTAAAATCACAATCAAGGAACCAAGGTCAGTGTTTCTCAAACTTGAGTGTGTTCATAAATCACCTGAGATCTCACCAAGGTGTCAACTGAGAGTCAGGCCTGGGTGAGGCTTGAGAATCTGCATCTCTAACAAGCTCTCTGCTGGCCACAGACATTGTGCATGTGCAGAAAAAAAATTCGGTAACCTTAAGGCAGTCCAGGTGCACTGAAGCCCGTAAGTTGTGGATGCTGGGAGACTGGCCCAGATCAGCTCAGCCACCCCTACACCCTGTTCCCCAACCTCGTGCTCACTACCCAGCAATGTAAACGATCCACTTGGACAGCTGAAACCACAAATGATTCTTCAACGTCAAGTTCACTAAACACAGGTGTTATGAATAGCTGTCTTTAATTAAATTTTCATGCTATGGCTATATTTTAAATTTTCATCAGTGAATACATACATTTTTTAAAGATTTATTTATTTATCTGAGAGAGAGAGAGAGCACGCATGAGCAAGGGTGGGGGCCCAGAGGGAGAGGGAGAGGGATAGGGAGAAGGAGACTCCCCGCTTGGCAGGGAGCCCGACACGGGGCTCGATCCCAGGACCCTGGGATCATGACCTGAGCCGAAGGTAGACCCTTAACGACTGAGCCACCCAGGCGCCCAATACATATTTTTTTAAATGGATGTTTTTGTTTAACAAAAAAGCCAGAACCCAGCTTCCTACTTTCATGAAGGCAGTGTTCTTTCCACTTAAACATGCTGCGTCTGTGTTCTAGAGAAGGACCACGCCATGTCATGGTCTTGCCTGCAGAGCAGCTGTTAAGCAGAGGCTAGGAAGAATAAGCAAGGTCCCCCTTGCCTGCAGAGCAGCTGTTAAGCAGAGGCTAGTTTTCAGATGGAAAACTGAAGTTCCCATCTCCTGCTACTCAACTTTCCTATGGGCCAAGTCACTGACTTTTTCTTTTAATAAAATTCAGGAAAAACATTGATTCTGGGCTCACAATTTGAATTTGAATTTAAATTTTAATAAAACTCAATTTTAACAAAAGGTAGTACAATTATTAAGATCCAACTTCCATACTTTATTTTTTTCCCTTCTCGTGCAAAAAAGGTGGTTTCATTAAAGCACAGGGCACAGGACCCATGGGCAGAAAGAACAGGCCCAACTTCCATGCTTTTCATTTTTAAAAAATTTTTAAGATTTATTTCTTTATTTGAGGGGGTGGAGGGACAGAGAGAAAGAGAGAATCTCAAGCAGACTCCCTGCTGTGCACAGAGCCTAACTCAGGGCTCGATCTCATAACTCTGATATCATGACTTGACCCAAAATCAGTAGTCAGATGCCACCCAGGCACCCCCTTGCTTTTTAAACAAGTGCTAACACAGTGCTCTGTGGATCCCTCAAAGTCACCTGGGATGGTAGGTCTCAGCTGGGTCTCTTTTTTTTCTGCCAGAGTAGCTCTGCTCTTAACTATTTTACATAATTATTATACATAATAGGATTCTGTTAAGGTTATGTTCACAGAGTTCTGTTTAAAAATCAACTGACAGCCCATGGCCATACCACCCTGAACACGCCCAATCTCATCTGATTAAAAATCAGCTGATATTTACAGTGTCACTTTTCAAACAGAAAAACAAAGACTTACCTTCTGGGATGTTCTGTGGCGGTTTGTAATTGAAATCCGTTGAAAAATCTGGCCCCTCACAGAGACGATGACATGCTATTGGGAAAACTGGTTCTAACAGAGCAAGACGTGCTTCAAAGTAATCCCTTATTGTTTCTTCTGCTACTCTTGAAAGTCTAGTCAAAAAGGATAGTAAGAGTTGTTAATATCAATGTAGAAAATAACCATGAGTCATATTATCAAACTGCTGAATACCAGTGAGGTCTTCCCAAATCAACCTTTAAATATAACTTCCTACTCATCCTGCTTCCCCGTTCTATTTTTCTTTAGCACTTAGCATCTGACACACTATGTGTCTTACTGTCTATGTTGTCACAGGAAATTTAGGCTCTAAGAGGGCAAGTCTCCTCCCCCTCCCCCACTGCTGTCTCCATCTTCCCGGCCTTCTGAATAGTTCCTGGCATCCAGACAGCACTCAATACTTATTTGTCTAATGAAAATGAAAATTCTAGGAGCGCCTGGGTGGCTCAGTCGTTAAGCGTCTGCCTTCGGCTCAGGTCATGATCCCAGGGTCCTGGGATCGAGCCCCACATCGGGCTCCCTGCTTGGTGGGAAGCCTGCTTCTCCCTCTTCCATTCCCCCTGCTTGTGTTCCCTCTCTCGTTGTGTCTCTCTCTGTCAAATAAATAAAATCTTGGGCGCCTGGGTGGCTCAGTTGGTTGGGCGACTGCCTTCGGCTCAGGTCATGATCCTGGAGTCCCGGGATCGAGTCCCGCATCGGGCTCCCTGCTCAGCAGGGAGTCTGCTTCTCCCTCTGACCCTTCCCCCTCTCATGCTCTCTCTCTATCTCATTCTCTCTCTCAAATAAATAAAATCTTTAAAAAATAAATAAATAAATAAAATAAATAAATAAAATCTTAAAAAAAAAAAAGAAAATAAATTTGAGAATTGCCACACACACACACGTGTCTTTATAGTACTTAGTTTAGAAGGCAGTTAAAAAATGATCAGTGCTAATTCAGAAAATATTTTTAAAAGATCTTGTTGGGAAGGTAACCAACTCATTTGGTTTGCCCAGGATATTCCGGTTTTAGGAGTGTTGGGTCATGGACACACAGAGAAATTACCAGTTGGGTAAGGCTCCCAGCAAAGGCTGCCAACGTGGGCAGACTCACCACACATACATGCCCTTTTGGTTTGTTTTTTGTCTCTCGTCTGAAATTTACCTTACTTTCTGCTTAGAATATAGATCCTGGAATTGGAGTAACCATCACGCAGGCATGAAGATCCAAGTCACACCCTAAGTGTGGTGGAGGAGGAAAAGGGGAAGAGTGGCTTTTCTTGTCCATGGCTGTCTACCCCTGGACTCTGTATTATTTTGAACAATAAACACCTTACTTGTATTAACTACTCTTTGTGAAGTTTCTATTATGTGTTGCCAAAATACTTTTTTTTAATTAGTTTCAGAGGCAGAATTTAGTGATTCATCAGTTGCATCTAACACCCAGTGCTCATTACTTCAAGTGCCCTCCTTAATGACCATCACCGATTATCCCTCCCCCACACCTTCCCTCCAGCAACCCTCAAGTTTGTTTCTTAGAGTTCAGCGTCTCTTACGGCTTGCCTCCTTCTTAATTTTCATCTTATTTTATTTTTCCTTCCCTTCCCCTATGGCTGAGTAAGCCAAAATAATTCTTAAGGAAAAAGCTACTATATTACTTGTATGAACTTTCAATTGAAATAAAATGATTTAGAATTCGTTTGAAAAATAATGAACTTGAACGGATACACTGTGGTACATCCAGACAATGGAATACTGTTCAACATTAAAAAGAAATAACCTATCAAGCCATGAAGACATGGAGGACCGCTATATTTATACAGCATTATTTACAATAGCCAAATTATGGAAGCAGCCAAGTGTCCATCGATAGATGATGAATGGATAAAGAAGAGGTGGTATATATATTATTCAGCCATAAAAAATGAAATCTTGTCATTTGCAACAATGTGGATGGATCAAGAGAGTATAATGCTAAGTGAAATAAGACAGAGAAAGACAAATACCATATGATTTCACTTGTATGTGGAATCTAAGAAACAAAACAAATGAACAAAGGAAAAATAAAGAGACAAACCAAAAAACAGACAACTATGGAGAACAAACTGATGGTTCCCACAGGGGAGGTGGGTGGAGGGATGGGGGAAATCAGTGAAGGGGATTAAGAGTGATGAGCACTGAGTAATGTAGAGTTGCTGAATCCTATATTGCACAGCTGAAATATAATACTGTTAACTAACTGGAATTAAAGCAAACAAAAATTAAAAAAAAAAAAGACATGGGTGAATCTTCAATGCATATTACTAAGTGAAAAAAGCCAATCTGAAAAGGGCAATACTGCAATTCCAACTGCATGACAGTCTGGAAAAAGCAAAACAATAGAGACAGCAGAAAGATCAGTGGTTGCCGTGGGTCAAGGGGCAGGGGCAGGAAGGGATGAACAGACAGAGCACAGAGAATTTTTAGGGCAGTGCTATTCTGTATGACACTAATGGTGGGTACATATCATTACATGTTTGTCAAAACCCCAAAATGCACAACATCAAGGTGAACCCTAAGGTAAACTATGGACTTTGAATGGTAACTGTCATTGTAGGTTCACTGGTTTTAGCAAATGCACCACTCTGGTGACAGATGTTAGGAGGGGAGGTTGTGCATATATGGAAGCAGAGGATAAGTAGGAACTCTCTGTACTTTTGGCTCAACTTCACTGTGAACCTAAAACTGCTTGAAAAATTGTCTATTAAAAAAAAGGAACTACAGATTAAACAGTTTTAAGAAAGCATGAGCCAAATTACGAGCATAACTAAGATTTCAAGTAGATAGTCCTAGAGAGAATAGTATTAAATTTCAAAGTTTGAGACCTCAGTAACTGTCAGAAAAATAATTCATATGCCACTTACTAAATTTATGATCTTTTGAGAACAGAAACCCATCAGGGCTTCCACTTAACAATCTTCGTCTGAGCAATTATACACAGGCCATTCTAATTATGATGTGTCCAAACAGACTCTGTGACTTAACCATGGCATATTTGCTCACACTTACGTCTCTAAATGATTCTTCAGCAAGTCGTACACCAACACGTTGTTACACTGCTTTGCAAAATGCAGTGCGCTATTTTGGTGCTTTGACAAAATATTGCAGTCAGCTCCACATTCAATTACAAGTCGTACAATATCAGAATTTCCTCTTTTACAGGCCTATGACGGGGAAAAAAGGAGCAGTAATTACTCAGCTGTAAAATAAGTTAACTACCAATTTGTGTTTGCCCCCTTCTCCACACGTGAGCCCAGGAGTTCTTTGTGAAGAGAAAGACAAGAATGTTGGAGAGGGGGAAGAAAACCTGGCATCAGGTTTCACCAAGGGTTACAAACTGTTATGTAAACAAACAGTGGTATGCTCCTTTTACTCAGTGAACAGTACTGAAATCTGTGCTACGTTCAATTTCATCCCTGACTTCTGGGGAAATGGGCAACTCTGAAAAAGATACTTCTGTCCCAAGACAGAACAAACACCAGGCGTTTCTAAGCTCTAGTGTGCTCCATTTTTCAGACCAAGTCTCTTAGCATCACAAAATAATTCCAAAATTTCCCTAAAAGCCGCTTTAAAGGAGACTAATTAAGCATAGATACAAATTTGAATTCGGCAAATTTAAGATGGACTTGGACACAGTTCAAAGACCAATTCTAGAGTAAAAAGATCTACATCCATGTTCTCTCCTGTCTCTCTTACTTACCGGCTATGGGACTTGAAGTTAAGTCCCTAATTCTGAGTCTCACTGTTTCCATTTGTCAAAAGGGGATCACAGTACTTCTGCCTCACAACATTGAGGCCGCAATTAAAAGATATATTGTAAAGGACCAGGGCAAGCCAGTAAGCTTTCCTACAAGAACAAGGCCATCTGGTGTGCTACCACTTAGTAGCACAGCTTAGATACTACAGAGTAGGTTTCTAAGCTGTGCAAGTGCTAGGTCCAAGGGCATGCATCTCATGGTAGATCTGACAAATGCTCTTCAAAATGATATAACCCCGTGGTTCTCACTAGGGTGATTTTGCCCCACCAAGGGAATTCAGGCAATGTATGGAGACATTTCTGGTTGTTACAGGGTGGGTATTAATGGCATCTGGTGCAAAGGTTAGGGATGCTGTTACATATCCTACAAATGATCTGGCCCACAATGTCAGGAGCGGGAAGGTTGAGAAGCCCTGCTGGAACCAATTATATGCCCCACATCAGTGGGTGGGAATGGTTTCTCCACACCCTCACACTCTGGTAACAACCAAGAAATATTATTTCTGAGATGAAAGGTTTTTTTCAATTTTGTTTCAAAAATTTCTGAAATTTAAATTTAAATTCAAAAATTTCTTAAATTTCTGAAAATCTCTCCCCATGTTTCTTTCTTCTAATTCTAAAAACCAATTTAATATACTAAATCCTTAAAGCTTAAGGAACCAGTACCAAAAAAACCCCAACACAAACAAAAACCAGACCAAAACAAAAAAACCAAAAATGAAATTTAAATACAGTTATAGGCAGTCTTATTTAGACAGTAGTTAAATATGCTTTAAGCTCTTCTCTAAAATATGCTTTAAGCTCTTCTCTACGAAGAAGCAACAGTCCCTTGGCCCCTTCCCCTCTGGACACTGCATTCTTCCTTCGCAGATTAACTCCTAAGTGCCTGCTACATCCAGCATCCACCTCCTCAGCCCCTGTAGTCCCACACCCCTCAAACCTGAGAAACGAGGGCACCAACACCCTCTCCAGTGCTCCTTCCCAGTGGCATTTCTCAGCCTCCTCCTTTGGCATCTCTGCCTCAGCAGACACCGCAGGCCAGCTCCTCCTTGAACCGCTCAGGATACTTCTCTCTCCTGATCTTCCTCCCCCTTCTCTGGTCTTTCCTATGTGGCTGCCTTCCATCGCTGCTTTTCTTTCCCTTCCAACTCTCAGCGGTGACCCCACTCTCAGCCTAGGGCTGCAATTGTGCTGTCTATACCGATGAGCCCAAATCTGAATCTATAGCCGAACCCTCTCTCCTGAGTTAAAGATGCACATGTGAAACATCATCTGAGCATTTCCAGCTCAAATGCAACCCCACTCCCATTGTATACTGCCCGAGTTCCCTAAATTAGGAAATAGGATTACCAAGCATCACCTTCAGTTACCAAGTCCTGTGAATTCTATCTTCTTAAACCACTGGTCAGTCTACCCACTTTTATCTCCACTGTCACTACCTAGGTACACACTATTATTTCACTTAATTTTAAAAATGTCCCTATAAGTCTGCAAACTGCTTGTCTTTTTAACCAATCTGTTCCCCGTACTGAACTAAGGAACATTAAAAACAACCACCTTTATTCTGATTATGTCTCTCTCCAGCTTAAACCTTTTAGTGGCTCCCAATTGCTCTCAGGATCAAGTTGTCCTAATTCCTTGTCCCAGATGTAGATGGTGTCCGTGCTCACTGCCCTATGTGCACACCTTTATGCGCCAGACTACTTATTTGCTATTTAGAATGTACCTGGTGATTTCTCAATAGGACAAAGTTTTAATTCATATTTGAGGTGCCACCTCTACTCTAAGCATATGGCAATAGAAGCACACAAGGAAAATTAAAATTCAAAAGTAGGGCTCCTGAACAAAGCAAGCATTTCCATAAACCAAAAATGAAATGGCAACACAAGCAGTGAGGAAGGTCCACATCCTGAGTGTGGAAGAAGGTTGAGGAGCAAGGTGATCCCAGCCTTGAGAATAACAGAAATTCAAGACCATCCTCAGAACCAAGCCTGATGCTAACTAGGGCCTATACCTGTGCTCTCTTACTGACTCAGGAAAGACTGCTGAAAATAGGTACTGCAGACAAACACCTACTTGGGTCAATTTCCTTGCACAAAACTGTATCTAATAGGAAGGGGGCAATAAGACAGAGCCTCCACGCGGGGAACTAACGCATGGCTCGATGTCAGGACCCGCTATGTCCTAATGGCATCTTAGGCCAGGAACCTAAAACTGCCACAGGAACATGCTAGACCAGGCTGGGCCCCAGCAGAGGCAAATACAAAACTGCTAAACAGGGAGAGGTAATTAAAGGGTGAGGCATGGGGGAGGCTTTAACAACCTTCCACTCAAAATGGTCAGCAAACCACAATTCCAAACACCCATGAAGAAATTGGAGGCTAAGGAGATGAATCCACCAATGTAAAATAATAATGAAAGTACATCATGTTCTTTTCCACTCCCAGTTCTCTGTGCATATCCTATTCCAGTTCCCGCTTACACAGTTTATCCCTGCCAGCTCATATATCATTTGTAGGATGCAGCTCAGCCACCTATCACATCCAGCCTGTC